GCTGTTAAAATTAAGGGAGGTTGGGGTTGGCGAATTTCATTATCAATGGCAGTAGCCCCAGCTGCAATTCTGACTATTGGGGCGTTTTTCCTCCCGGAGACACCAAATAGCCTAATACAGCATGGAAACGATCATGAAAAGGCCAAGCGAATGCTGCAAAGAATCCGAGGCGTTGATGATGTCCAAGTAGAACTAGACGATCTCATAAAAGCGAGTTATGCTTCAAAATCTGTCAAACACCCGTTTAAGAATCTCTTGCAAAGAAAATATAGGCCTCAACTCATTATGTCAATGGCAATTCCCTTCTTCCTACAAGCGACAGGAATCAATGTGATCGGGTTCTATGCTCCAGTACTTTTTCGGACAATTGGTTTAACCGAAAGTGCATCGCTGTTGTTAACAATTCTGATCTCATTTGTGGGCTTAGGTTCGACAATGGGGTCATCTTTGGTAGTCGACAAACTTGGCAGACGTGCTTTATTTCATTTGGGCGGGATTCAAATGTTCATTACACAAATGTTGATTGGAGGAATAATGGCAGCCAAATTGGGGGATCATGGAGAATTAAGCAAAGGGTATGGCATATTAGTTTTGATCTTAATTTGCGTATATGTTGCTGGTTTTTGTTTGTCATGGGGACCATTGGGATGGGTCGTTCCAAGTGAAATTTTTCCACTGGAAATAAGGTCGGCAGCACAAAGTATTAATGTAGCTACCAGTCTTCTCTTCACATTCGTCATTGCTCAAGGTTTTCTTGCTATGCTTTGCGAAATGAAGTCTGGAATTTTCTTCTTCTTCGGGGGATGGGTGGCATTAATGACTGGATTTGTCCACTTTTTCCTGCCAGAAACCAAGAATATTCCGATAGAGAAAATGGAGAAAATCTGGGAGGAGCATACTTTCTGGAAAAGATTTGTCCCTTGTAATCAAGATAATGAAAAGAGTAAGATTGAGGTAGCATGAGCCTGCAAATATATATGCTTCATAGTGTGTTAGGCCAAATATATCGATCGCACTGGTTTCATGTATTTAATAATGGATCGAATAGAGACATCTATTTGCTTTTGTTTATGTTTACAGCACTTCATTTCACAATACCAGGATATGATCTCTTCAGAATGAGTTGAACAACATTTGGACACTTATTTTGTCCAGATCATTCACAAACTTGAGGCAATATTCCATTTTACGATTTATTTTTTTCCTTTTCTGGCTATGTGAAGTTGATTACCTACCAACCAAGGGTGAAGCAAGAGTTAAATTTATGTGTTTTTGGTTTAGTGCCCCATCAACCAATGAGACCAGAGCATTAGGAACATATCCTGCATCAAACAATTGGGCTGTCAATCCACTTAGAACTTCAACAACCCCATTTCTCAATACTAGCATATCATTACCAGCAGAAAACAAATATATAGTGTTCTGTAATTCCACCCAACTAGAACACGTCTCTTTCTTTAATGCCTTCTCTTTCATCAGTTTCCTGATTTGGGATGTCTTGTTCCACATCTTTGAATCAGCATAAATATTTGATAGCATGATATAGGCTGATGTATCATTTGGATCAATACTCAAAATGTTTTCAGCAGCATATTTACCCAATTCTAAGTCTTTGTAAGTTATACATCCTGATAAAAGAGAGCGCCAAACCACTTTATCCGGCCATAAGCTCCTCTCATTTGTCCTTTGCGGGCAAATAGACTGACCATACAAGCAATATGATCCGTTTTTGGGATAATTTTGAAATCTTTGACCATTGAATTAAAATGATGAAGCCCCTCCTCCAAATATCCTACATGTCCACAGGAAGATAAGACTCCAATGAATG